TGTAATTGGCTGTCAACCGAGTAAATGACTTTGACATGTGTCAAATATCATCTTGCATAGGAGTATGGAATTGTGCATATGTGTGACAGAACACAAAGGTGTGTAGAGTTGTCCAACTCCATTCTCCGAGGCAATGGGAGAATGGATTAGTGAGGCAATTGGGAGATCCGCTTTTACTTCTCAAAGGCAATCCACGGCCTCATCTATTCAACACTTTTTTTTTCCAACATGCTTCTCTGAGGGCATTCCTTCAAGCTTCCTTTTCACAACTGCCACATGTATGCTTCGTTTTAGGAGGTGAATACATTTAGGTGTCCCACAAACTCCACCACCTTCCTATTTAACCCACTCCCAGTTGTTCAGTCACGTTCAGCACTAGCAATCTACCATGGAGGAGAAGTAGTGGTCATCATTTGCACTTCACCCTCCTTCGGTGATGGGAATCGTCCACAGCTGAACTGCTACAAGCAATTTTACTGCAACTTTACGACCTTTTCATCCACAATGAGGTGTGTCAGTGACATTTATCCATGCAATGCCTCGTATCTTACCTGCACAGCAAAGAGGATGACAGTGACTAGGCCAATCCAGCTATGAATGCTGTACATGTCGGGTATGCCGCGTAGATTGTGGGAATCGAAGGCGGCCTTGAGACCAACCACGGAAAAGAGAAGACCGAGTATCATCAAAACACCGTGGACAGCCTTCAAAGGCAGTTTCGGACACTTATGAAAAACGCGATAGATTAGCATAGCTGAAAAGGGAAGAAAGATTATCCGCTTTTCGCTTGTGACAAGCTGAAAGTGGTGAGGTAAGGAGTATGCGTTTGATGCTGTTATCGGTGTCAGGTGGATACACAGATACCCAAAGTCATCAACACGCAGATCACTAACAATCAGGGCGCCTTTTTTCTGCCTTGCGTGAAAGGCAGACGAGAAGCTGCTCTAACAGTGGTGCCCCCACGACCTAGGAACAACCCATTCACCAACAGTCACCATCAAAGTATCCTTTTGATAACCAGGCGAACGCTAAACTATGCGTTTGGTAGTTGGATGACATTCGGTTTCTGTCAAGTGGACAGTTGCAATAACGCCGTAGGATTGGCATTCCATTTCACCTCGTAGACCCACGGCCTGTACACCTATCTCCGTCAGCTTCTTGAGCCTTTGCCTGAATGGTCTTGTTTTGTGTTTTACTACAGACTGATCACTCAGTAAGTAGTATCTGGCATCCTACGCACTCCTTCAGTTTTTACACATTCTCGTGCCGAGATTGTTTACTGCTTCCATGTGAATTGTGAAAAGTGTGATTCCAAGACCATCAGCTAAAGTAGACGAAAAATTCTCTCTTCCTTTTCACTTTCAGTCATCATATGGCCTGGTGGATTTTCCGTTTGGATGTAAAGTGAAAAAGGCAGACTGCATGCCTTTTGAGTGGGAGGAGTGTCAATGAAATCCCACCTACATGACGGGGTTAATTTTAGCCTCCAAATCAAAAAAAAATGGTAAGAGGTGGGTAGATATTTACGACTGCTACTGTACCCAAACAGTGACAAGGAGTGGCGTGCATTAAGCCAGAAATTCAGCACCGACACAGCAAAATGTCGGCACCGGAGAAGGCGTAATTACCATCACCGAAGAAGAAGATCATGCCAAGAACCATGAAGACGGGATGGTA